TAAATCCTCTTTGGGTCAAGGTGAATATATATATATATATAAAATAATCCCATTTATATTTTGATGGTGTTTTCTCTTTAGAAAAATTAACTGAATTTAAAGGCATTTAACATTCATGGATACAATAATCAACTTTTGATTGCATTATACACATTTTAAGTAATTTAAATAGGGTGATTACGGCTCATTCAGACATTAAACGCTTTAATACTGATGGGAAATCTGCCCTAATATTCCGATGGATGGTAAAATAAATAAACTTAGACGTGTAACACACATCATTCCTCAAGGAGATTGATAGTTCAACGAAAGATGGGTTAGATCCTAACTAGGTACAAAAAATTTCATATTAAAAATGTCTCATAATCGACCTGTTTGACAAGATTTTTCATAAGTTGAAAACTACCTGTAAGACTAAAAAGTAACTTTAAAACTTTTTTAGATAAAGTTTTAGAAGTCTCTATTTAATTAGAAAAGCTTTTATAAGATATTAACATAATGAAATTTTTTCAGAAACCCTTCTATAAAAAATGATAACTAAAGCAAAATCCTATCCAACAAACAATACTTGTCATATCTTTCCACTAATGCTGATGTGAAGCCCTCTCTCAATCCAAGCATTTAGCCCGTATTTGATTTCAATAAAAGATTTAGAGTGTTTGATACCCATTTTGTTGGGAAAATAAATTTTAGAATAGTAGATTGATGGAGAATGTGTGGACGAAAAATAAAGAAAATTTTTTGATTTACGTGTAATATTATCTTATTATTTTAATAAACAGGACCAAACCAAAGCCTATAGTTGCAAGAAAACAAATGAAAAGCAACTCTCATATCATTTTTTTGGACTGCAAAAAGGTGTGACAAGGAAAAAAAGCACCCAGCCAACGAAGAGAGGCAAGTTTTCAGTCATTTCATGTTAATGCAACTAATCTTCAATGATACACGTCCTGTGGTTAGGTACCGATAAACACATTGAGTATAGTCTACCACTAAGCTAATAGTTTCATCCATGTACAAGTTGAGAGGTTTAAAAATACTGATGACTGAACTTAGCAAGTAATGTATATCCGAACCGGCACTTCATACTGCAGAAAAGGCAGTCTTTAGTGAGAGATGCTGGAAAGGGGGATAAATGGTACAAGTAGGAACAACTTCTTCAAGCAAGGACAAAAAATCATATAATTTGCATAATAACATGATATTGTGAGCAAAACATAAACAAAAAGAAATGCAACTTCCAGTTGCCTAAGATGTAGAAAAAATTATACATCATAACATCAGAAAATGGACAAAAAAATATACAGACGGCGGGAGAAATCATAATGTCAGGTCACAACACAAAACTTGCAACTGGTTTGAGTCAAAACCAACAGAATAGCTGGGCATTGCACTCGTGTAATATGAGATCTAAAAAAAATTTGATGTCTTTACCTCGTCGTTGAAGGCTAATATGTTACATCTACAAAGAAATCCATCTTACGCAGTATATTGAACTGTCTTTCAGAATCCATTCCAATCAAATCCTTCCTTTTTAGAAACTTTCACTTAATGAGGGGGCTCAAACCATCACCTTCCCAACCCAGCTTGAGCATTTGATCTACAACCTTTAAACTCAACTGCAGGCAATAGACAATGTTATAAACCCGTAAAAGGTAAGTGGGTTTTAAAATATAAAAAAAAAAAAAAAAAGGATTACACAC